GATGAATCTGTTTGTTTTCCTAGCAGTCCATGGTACTCTCAATACTCTTCTGCAGCACCACAGCTCAAAGGCATCAATTCTCCTTCTATCCTCGTTAGTCAATGTCCAGCTCTCTGATTCATAGCAAGTGATAGCAAAGACCATGGCCTGTATCAGACGCACCTTAGTCTGCAGAGCATAGTTAAAGAACACAACTCTGATGCACACCTTTTCAGATTTTAAACCCTTGTTCTGTTCAAACGACCTTTTCTTGGTCTCTTTACAGGTTTCACATGAGCACAATTAAGTGTTCTGGAAGTCCCAGTCATCTCAAGGCTATCCATATCTTACTATGATCCACACAGTCAAATGTCAATACATAGTTATTAAAGCATAAATAAGCATTTTTCTGGTACTCTCTACTTTCAGCCAGGATCCATCTGACATTAGCAATTGTTCCACAGACTCTTTTGAATCCGACTTGAATTTTTGACAATTACTTGTCAATGTTCTGTTCCAGATGTTTTAAAATAATCTTCAGCAAGATTTTAATTACAAATTGTAATAAACTTATTTTCACAGTTTGAAATGAGAACAAATACAAATCTTTTCCTGCAGTTGGCTAGGTAATTGTCTTCCAGAATTCTTGGCATAGACAAGTGAGTAAGTGCAGGCTGCATCTTGAAACACTTCAAATGGTATTGCAATAATTTCTGGGGTATTATTATTATTATTATTATTAATGCTTTTCAGTGCAGCTTTGACTTCTTCCTCTGTTATTGTTGGCTCTTGATTACGTGTTACTTTCTGAAGTGTTTCCATACTGATGAGTTCTTATTGGTACAGCAACTCTCTGTATTCCTTCCACCTTCTTTTGATGATCCCTGCGTTATTTAATATTTTGCCTGAAGAATCCATCAGTATTATAACTCAAGATTTGAATTTGTTCTTCAGTTGTTTCAACTTGAAAAATGCTGAAAATGTTATTCTCTGTCGGGTTTTCTAACTCCGGGTCTTTGCACATGGCATAATAATACTTGGCTTTATTGCCTCAAGATGCTCTTTGAAATCTTCTTTTACTTCCATTTCCTCCTTTTGTTACTCTTTTTATTCCCTTCTTCAGATGCCCTTCTGACATTCATTTTACTTCTTTCTTTCCTGTCTTCCTAATGACCTTTTGCTGTCCTTATAATTGATGCCCTTGAGATCTTCCCATCACTCTGGTCTCAGTCATTAGTGCTCAGTGCATCAGATTTGTTTTTTGAGATGTTTTTTTAATTCTGACACAATAATCCCAAGGCCATAATTTGGCTCTTTAGACTTTTTTCCATTTTATTCAACATCAGTTTGAACTTGGATATGCTTAACTGATGGTCTATTCCACGCTCAATCCCTGGCCTTGTTTTGATTGCTCATAATGAATTTCTCTACCATCTCTTTCCATAGATGTCATTAATCTGATTCCTGTGGATTACATCAGGAGAAATCCATGTATGTAGTTGACATTTGTGATTTTTTAAAAGAGTTTGCAATGAGTAAATAATTGATAATACCAAATTCCATCATCTGATATCTGGCCTTGTTTCTATCCCATAAAGGTCATGCTTTCCATCTGCCAGTTTTCCTCTGTTTCTAACCATTGCATTCTAGTAAATGATTATTAATACTGTATCTTGATTGCATGTTTGAGAAATTTCAGACTATACATTTATAGAAATCCTTAATCTCTTTATCTTTGACTTTTCTGTTTGGTGCATATATTAAAATAATCATTGCATTAACAGGTCTTTCTAATATAAATGAAATGCTATTTTTTTATGTTGAAAACAATATAATTCTTTTTCAGTGTGTCATTCTTGGCATAGTAAATCATATAATTACCTGATTTTAAATGGCTAGTAACAGTCCGTTTCAGCTCTCCTTGGAGACTAGGATTTTGAAGCTTCGTCTCACATACTTTGGGCATGTGGCCACGAGAAACCTGTCCTTGGAGAAGGACATCATGCTCGGAAGGGTGGAGGGACAGCATAGGAGAAGAAGACCCCAGATGAGATGGGTTGACTCAATGACTGGAGAAATGGAATTAGGTCTGTTGGAGATGATGATATTGACTCAGGATAAGGCAGGTTTCAGAGCTGTTGTACATAGGGTCTCTATGAGTCACAGATGATTTGACAGCACATAACAACAACATAATCTACTATTCTAGGAATGGCATGTTGAAGAGGGATGGTGTTGCATTCATTGTCAGAATGTTTAAGGTCTGTTTTGAAGTGCAGAGTTGTCAGTGATAGTACAATATCCATACATATACTGGGCCAATTTGCAGCAGCATGATTGATGGTGAAGAGATTGAGATTGTTAACAGCTTAGTTTGTTTGTCTCCACAAGCAACACTCTTGGCACCAGCAACCAGGAAATTAAAAGAAGTATTTCATTGGAAAGTCAACTGTCAGAGACCTCTCCAAAGTACTGAAGAGCAACAAAATGTCAGTCTGGAGACTAAGGTGCACCTGATACAGGCCATGGTCTTTGTAATCACTTGCATCAGAGAGAGCTGGACAATGACTAGGAATGGTAGAAGGAGAACTGATGCCTTTGAGCTGTGGTGTAGAGAAGAGTAGTGAATATACCATGGATTGCTAAGAGAACAAACATGTTCATCCTGGAAAGCCTAAACCAGGCTGCTCCTTAGAGGCAAGAGTTCTGAAGCTTCTTCTGACATATTTTGGACATGTTGCATGACAGGACTGGTCCTTGGAGAGGGACATCATGTTTTGGAGGATGGAGGGACAGCACAGGAGAGGAAGACTTTTTTAAAATCATTTTTTAAATTAATTTTAATGAAAATTTACAGAGACTTTGTATCTCCATTCATTCATTGTTGCACTTTTCTCCCTGCCCACCCCTCCCCCCAGTACATCTTCTCTTTGAAAAGTAAAAGAAAAAAATTTTCATTGTTTTACAATCCCTACTCCCAGGTCCACTCCACTATGCAGCCTTCGTTCTGGACTCCTGTCATGACATTAATACCTAATCACATATCCCTTCTAAACAGTTTTCTCCCTCATCTGTTTCAATGCAGTATACATTATTTATCCCATCTTTCTCAGTCTCTCCCCAACCCTGATGTCAGTCCCATTTTACAGCAGTGGCACTATGCAGTATATGACCCTTTGTGACTGAGATATTTCACTCAGCATAAAGTCCTCCAGGGTCACCCATTTTGAATAATATTGCATGAGTTCCTTGTTTTCAATGCTGCATAGTATTCCATTTTGTGAATATACCACAGCTTCTCTATCCATTCATTTGTTGATGGACGCTTAGGTTGTTTCCAACTCCTTACTATCGTGAGCAAAGCCACGATAAACATGGGTGTTCACATATCTGCTTGGATGGCAGTTGTGGTCTCTTTGGGGTATATTCCCAGTAGTGGAATTGCTGAGTTTAGTGGTATTTCTATTTGCAACTTTTTGAGAAAGCACCACATCACCTTCCACAGTGGTTGCACCATTTTACACTTCCACCAACAGTGAATAAGGGTTCCAGTCTCTCCACAACCTCGCCAGCGTTTGTTGCTTGCTGTTCTGTTAAATTTTGCTATTCTTACTGGGATGAGATGGTATCTCATAGTTGTTTTGGAGAGGAAGACTCTTGATGAGATGGATTGATTCAGTGACTTGGAGTAATGGGAATAGGTATGTTGGAGACAGTGAGATTGGCAGATGATAGAGCAGGGTTTAAGGCTGTTGTACATAGGGTCACTGTGAGTCGCAAGTGACTCCACAGCACATTACAACAACAACAACCATCAGTGAATAAGAGTTCCAGTCTCACTGGGGTCAAGATGGCAGACTGTTGTAGCATAAGACTGGTGCCTGGATAGTATATGAAAATGGTATTGCAATGCTGTAGGATTCAGTGAACTTGGATAATTGTGAGATGATATAATACGTGAGAATATAAAAGAAGCCACCTGACCACTTTATAATGACATAAGAAGAGTTCTGGACCTGACCATGACATGGTAGCGCAACAGATCTTGTCTAAAGAACAGTGACCAAAACACGAGAAGGATAACTTCTACCTTGAACCATATCTGAAAGAGGTTATTCCAGAAAGAAAAAAGAATGGGCAAATATATAATCAACTAATTGAAACTGTGGAT